AAGCTATGGTCATGGGATGAGGAAAGTCACTGGCCCACGCAAGGGACAAGGTCTGCATTTTCCCACGTTAAGCTTAGCATTGAACTCTACGTAACTAAGTCAACTGGCTCGGGCTCTTTTGTTTGGACCCCTGGGATACAAGACTTTGTAACACACTTGTAAATCCCCATCAACTAGGGTGGATGTAAGCAGATGATGGCATAGACCGTCCCCCAGCAGGCCCCCCAAAACATCTGCTTATTAACCACGAAGGGGCACTGTCCCATCAGGCCTTGCTCCCTAGCCTCATAGCTTTGACTACCACTTTGGAGCAATGACTATAAATCTGACTCTGACTCTGTCTTTCTCCTTAAGCTGCGGTGCCATCTCTCTAATCACCTGCTGGACATTATCCATCAAAACCCCAACTCAGTATGCTCCAAACCGAACCCATCATCTTCTCTCATCCAGATTCCCTCCCAGCCAATCTGTCTCTTTCACTGGCACCTTTGTTTTCCTAGCCATTCAACTTCCAGACCTTCTCAGCAGCTTTCGTGTAGACTTTATTCTCATTCTCCAGATGTAGTCAGTCTCCAGGTTCTGTATTTTTTTTTTTTTTTTTTTGCCATGCCCTGCCTGGTTTCCTTCTTCCTTCTCCCATAACTACTGTTCTGGTCCAGGCTCCTATTATATTTCAGGGCTCCATCACCCCAAACCTCACAGTACCAGAGCTAGATGTGAATACGACCGCTGTTAAGACACAGTTCCAGTGACCTCCAATGGTCTGTAACCCAAGTCCAAGCTCTTGGGAAAGATATAAGTGAATAGCCAATTTAAATGAGAAAATAATATAATTTAGGAACCGATTCATGTTCTTTCTTGATCCCAGCGAGGCATTCAGGGTTGTGACTGGCTTCCCTGGACAGGAACCGCGTGTGCCAAGAGGTGAAGAGAGCAAAACAGCAACAATAATCAATAAGCATATTGCTCCAGGCCCCGATCTCCCTGTGGGGAGTTGTAAGAGTGAAAAGTTAATGCAAGGGGAGAGGGCAAGATAATGTGAGCGTCCCGGCTGCCTTTTCCAAGAGCTCTGCAATTACAAAGTAATTGTGAGCGTATGTGTGAACGGTTTACCCGATCAGTTTAATTCCCTCTGCTCTGTGGATGAGGTTGCTCTGGAGAGATCACAGTTAACACTGCACTTCCTAGCAATACAGATGAGCTGTTCTCGTCCCTGAAAACCTGTCATTATCCGCAGTTAAGCAAAGAAAAGCTAGGGAAGGAAGCTAACTGAAAGCACAGGTTAGCGAACTGAACTTTCTTTGCTTGATGATTCACAGAAATATAGATAATAGGAATGGGACCCTTCAGGGGGTCTGGACAGTAATTGAGACACTTTGGGTGGAAGAAAATGAAAAAAGTTTGGAGCAAAGAAAGAAAAGCACTCAGGACGTAACCTAGCAAGATAGAAAAATGAAATATAAAAGCCTCACCAGCTCTAATTAAAGGAAATCAATATTTGAAGAGATGTCTTGCTCAGTAATAGAACAAGAGCAAAAATACTTCAGAAATGTGAGCCTCTTAGAAAATAGGAAAGCCGGTTTGCATAGGGAAGCAATCATGATGGGGAAGCGATCATGATTTCAAAGCCCTTCAAAAGACAACCACTTGGTGGATATGTTATACAGGGAGCTCAAGCACCTGTTGGGGAAGCAGATCAGACGAGCTTCTATCCCTGGTTAGAATCCATATATTTTAAGTGCATTTCCTCATCATGTGAGCTTCAAGGAGCCTGGAGTCATCCCTAGGGAGCAGTTAGCTACCATTTCCCCGGATAGATTTGAAGTAACCCCTTAAAGATAGCTTGGGTTTCATCTCAGTTACCACTTCCAAGAACACACACTGGGAAAGATGAAGAGCTGTACAAATGCAGTAGACACTGGCCAACTACTCAGGCAAGCTTGCTGGAGAACCCTTTCCAAGCTCACCTGTCCTTGTGATCCACGTGATGATCAACCATCAAGCCAATTCTAACCAGACCAGAATCCAACTAGAATACGGTCCGCCCAGGCCATTGTTCTCTAGGAATGGAAAATGTGTGACGTGTGTGTCCGCACCTCTTCTCTCCCACCAGCGCCAGACATTGATAATCGATCGGGACACTCCTTTCTACTGAGCCCAGAGGCAGCGCTTTCCATTTGTTTGTTTAACAAATACTTTCTGAGTGCCCTCTGAAGAGCTAGATAGATAAACAATGAAATATAAACAACACTACAAGCACCATATGCTCAGCGCCAAATAAAAGATACGTAGGCAGTCAGTATGACAGCCCGACGCTCCTGAAATTCAATTTTCTAAGACCCTGACAATTTTTTTTAATTTCACTGCTGTTGTAGTTAGAGCGGCGTGACTCATTTTCATGGGTCTGAGATGAATTAATTCTAAAAAGAGCCCACGAAGTACTATAGGAAATGCAGAAGTTTCTGTATGCTGCCCATCAAGAAAGTGAGTTGAGTGTGTTTGAAACTGCTAGGTTCTCCTCCCTCAAGGACCTCTCTGATCTAAGAGAAAAATCCAGATTGGAGTGGATCTGATTGCCATCTTGGGTTTAAGTACACTGGATGCTGTTTCAGCATCAAATTATTCAATCAGAAACACTTTGAAAATGCTGGAGAGTTGGGCTAGTCAGAGTTTTCCCACCTGAATACAATGTGCGTAATATTGCAGATTTTTCCCCAAGTTTCTGGTGTTGGAGACATTATTTGTGGAGGCTGTGGGAAATGGCTTCCTTGATGGATGGAGACGGACAGCCGGGAGGAGTGGAGGAAGCCCGGATTCGTACTCTCAGGGATTTCAGGCCACAGCCCTTAAGATCGCAACCCGAAGAGATGATTCAGAGTAAAGAGATCTGACAAGCGGTCTAGAGACAAAATAATGACAACAGGAGTAGGTCTGTTTCGGATGTGTGGGTTGGAAACCAGCTCGGAGTCAACGCAGCTCCCCTCCCATCTCATATGCCCCACATTATCATCTGTATACCCCAAGCAGATAGGGCTTATTCCTGTACGCCCCTGAGATCGCTGGATGTTCCAGTGGCTGCAGGATTTTCTCTTTCTGGCTCACAGGACACTTCTGGAAAACTCAGGGTCCTGCAGTCTCGAGGTTTCAGAATTAGAGCATCTTGTTCAGACTTAGCTACTGAGCCTGGGACTTTGGGGCGGACTGGTGACTCTTTTCTCTCAGTGTCCACCAAGCCTTTTGATACAAGAGTCCTTGGTGGATCTACAAGATGAAACTCCTGGGTTCCAAGCCTGCCACAAAACTGTGCTTGGTCCCTGCACCATTCTCGGATACACTTTATCACTGCCAATGGATCAGCCATTTGTCCAGAAGAAACATTCTGAGCTCTTTCTGATTACATTCTGATTACTTTCACCCCCGGTCATGGTGCCATACTTTCCGTATGTGATTTTTCTCTGAGAAAGTTTTCGTTTTTATTCCCTGCACATCTCCATGTCCAGGATTTGGCAGGCGGTCAGAGGGGTCCTTATTCCTATCTTTTAAAGGACTACTGCTCGCAGACCACCCCCCACCTAGAGGAGCAGTTAACAATAAGAAAGCTGTCGGCTCCTGGCTTTCCCTGAAGTCCTGCCACACCCTGCCTGGAGTTTAGACGGGGTCACTTGTCATGCAGATGGTAAAGGACTCCTGTGCCCAAGGCACAGGCATGGGAATTGAGCAGTGAGAATGGGTGTTCTTGCATTGAAGAGGACGCGGATGCCTGAACTTAGTGACTCAGGGAGCTTTAAATGACCACCTAGTCCGAGCCGAGCCGGTAACTTGCAAGATCAAAAGAGCCCTTGTTTCAGAATGCTTCCCCTGAAGTTCCCCACTCCCTCCTGTCTGAGTGAGGGGCGAGGCAGAGGAAGGCGCGGCGGCCAGGGTCCAGGATGTGGAAGTGAGGAAATTGAGCCCGGCTTGAATTCTGCTACCCATAGCATATTGTGTCCTTTGCATCGGACTGCCCCAACCTGCTGGAGGAGGCCGTTTTGAATTCTTCTGAGTCACAGTCTCTTGCCCCATTGGTTATTATCTCTTAGTTTCTGAGCTTGGCTCTGGATGAGGAAGGCAGCTGGTATGGTCCCAGGTGTGGCTAAGGAGTTCTTTTGCTGGAAAGTCATAATAGATAGATAGGCCGGGGCGTAATGGAGTCCACAGACCCCACTCAGAATGTAACCACAGTCTGGTGAATCCACGAGCAGCACAATGAAATGGTCCCTGCAACTCTGCGGGAATCACAGCACTCTGTCTTGGCAAGCTTCTGATATCTCCCCCAGAATGGAATGTGTGCTCACTCTTTCTAGAAGGTCTGCCCCCCCCCAGCAGAAGGATGGGAGCTTACCTTGGTGTCTCCCACTCCAAAGAACTGTTGGGGCTTTTGCTATCTGTCTGGTTAGCCCTCGTCTGTGCCCACACCCTTCTGCGTTACCTTGCCGATCCCCTATGATTCTTTCTTGTTCCAGTCACATCCGTGTGTCCATTTAAAGCTGATGAGCGCAGGGCAGACCATCTTTTGTGACCCCCATGCCACCCCACACATAAATACAGTGACTTGCAGGTACTTATTTCTGAGGGACGAAAAAGATTCGTAAGTATCTGGAAAGCTCTTTGACATTCTCTGAGACAATATTCTGTGCCTTTGGAAGGCTCTATTATCGTCACTGAAAGCCAACATATGCATTTTTCTTTTTACCTTCACTTTTCAAAAAAGGTTATGCTGACGTAGATCTGACTAACAAAAAAAAAAAAATCTTTCTGATGAAATCGGGATAAATAATTCCACACATCATCAAGTGGAAAGAAAAGCTTTGAATTGGTTTCCATGGAAATCTGAAGATGAAGTAAAGTAATAATTTCAAGGCAGAGCAGCTGAATTGAAGATAATGGTAAAAATAGTTTGATAAAGAAAATAGAATAAAGTAATCAAGAAGACTCCAATCAATTATTCCTTTTTGTTTACCTTCAAGTGATTAATTTGTCTGCGTTTATTAACCTGATGAGATTAAGCAGACCTTCCTAGTGATTTATTTCGTAATTGTTTCCAAGGTTTGACATAAGCTGTGGAGTTATTGAAGGTGGAGATTTAAATTCAATTACTCATGAAGCAGGTGGTGCTTTTCCTGAAAGAATATCTGAATTCACGGCCTTCCCATGTTAACATTATGAGCGAAAATTATTAATTCATCTGATAGTATCTCCCAAAGACTTTTAGAAGTCATTTGGCATCCACATACTTCACTAAAAGTCAGCAGCTTCAGAACTGAACTTGTAATACAGACACTCCAGAGACTGAAAAGAAAGGATTTTATGTTAAAGACTAGTTATTTTTACACTTTTTTTTTTTCTACTGGAGCCTCCCTTGGGGCCTGGGTTATGGTGTTATCATTAATGGAATTCACCAGCTCAAGCTTTGAATGCCAAAAGGATAGCTTTCTTTGAACTTGACCAGTGGTTCCCACTCTTTTTACCTTTGAAGGGCTCACCACTGGATAAGATCATTGCTCTATTTTGACAGGAGAAAGAAAGAGAGAGAGAGAGAGAGAGAGAGAGAGACCGAGCTTGAAAGTATTTAAATGAAATGACTAATTGCTTTTTGTCTCTGTGGTCATTGTTGTATATATTTTTTTCTATTCTTTCTGTGGGTATAGTAAGGATAGATGGGGTTCTCCAAACACTAATCCAGGAGCCAACTCTCCATCATCCACAAAGGCCCGGAATGCATCTAAGAGTGGGAAGTAAGTGAAAAGTGTCCCTGTGCATTTAACATAGTTATCACCAAGCCTTGTGCTGTCCTCATTTTGTCATTCATTCATACTCATTCAACAAAGATTTGTGGAATGCCTTCCATGTGCCTCGCACTGGGCTAGTCACTGAGAAATGTAAATGAGTGAAGCATGTGTCAAGAATATTGGGTATATGAAGGACGAAAAATGTGGGAGGAGAGGGACGGGAAAGTCAGGCTAAGTGTGAAGGTCAAGGAGTTAAAGCAATGCAAGATTTGGACTATGTGTTTCAAAAATTAAAGAAAGAAGCAGCAGCACTGATTCATCATTATATGAGTTGCAAAATCCATGAAAATCTGTCTTTGACCCATATGTTAAGGTTTAGGATTGAGTTGGAAAAACCTGGAAAGCCATTCCATGAATGTTCTGGTTTAAGTACATTTCCACTGTAACCATATCACTGATTTATGTGGTATGCTAGTAACCAGCATGTACCATGTCCTACATGCAACTGTCTTTGTGGTATTGCCAAAATTTGTACTGGCTGAGTATTTGTGATGTTAGATTGACCTCTTTGGGTTAATTCCAGAAAACAGTATTGGCTGATCCAGCCAACTGGATTCAGCAGAGCATGGCTGAAATAATGTGGTCCCATGCAGAGGACATACCTCCGATTAGGTGCTTCCCCTCCAAAGTGGCTGCAGCCCTTTGGAGAATGACTTGGGTTCTCTGTAGGCTACGTCTCTCAGGGGCGTAGGGCATTGTGACAGGTAAACATACAGCCCAGAAGGAGTACCCAGCCTGCATCTAGGAGAAGATGAAAGATGTCTTCATCATGCTAAAAGCTCTAATCTAGCAATACGATATGTCACTACAAGAACATGGCTTTGCAATGAAAATTGAATTTGTAATGGTCATATATTTTATGTATTCAGTGTTGGACCATAAATGCTGCACTTTGAATATGATCTTATATTCAGTTCCCAAAGTGAAAGATCTACTGGCTGCCTTTTTTTTTTTTTTTCCTTTTCTTCTCCTCCTGAATACCATTTCAGATTTGCATATAAAGTTGAATGTGGGCTATCTTGGAGAATATAAAAAGCAGTGGCGAAGACATAAGACCAAATCTCCAAGCACTTATAACTCATTTCAGTTATTTATCACCACACACCACAATCAAAATGCTGTATAAATTATGAAGGAAAGTAATTGATGCCCACAGTCCCAAGCAGATGAACGTTTCCAGATTAGTCCCAATTCATCGTCAGCGTGCACTCTCAGTGAGCAGATAGGACATTGGAGAATCGCTTTTAGCACCACGCTTGCAGAAATGGCAGGCCAAGTCTGGGGCCCTTGTACGCACCTCTCTCCTCGACAACCGCCGGGCACAGTCTCTGTTTCTTAGACCCTGATGTATTGCGATGGATGCTTGTGATTGCTCTTACACTTTGAAAGGGGCACTGTTTGGTTTCTTTTGGCTTTGCGGGAACCTAGTTTCTTACCTTTTGAGTGAAGAATCTCAGCGTGAGCCGCAAAGGGAGCGTTGGTCGAATTTGAGTTCAGATGACACAGAGAATACATACCTGATACCATACCCAGGTTGTGAACAGCAGGAGGCCCGCATAAATACATTCTTACGTAGATAAATGTGATCTTCTAGCACACTTGCTGTATTTGGACACATCCCAAGCTTCTGCCGCCATGAGGGCCTCCCTCTTTGCACTTTCTGAGCTAGGTGCCTTTTATTGGCCATGTACCTGACTCACGGATTGAGGTAGTTCCTTGTAATTCTTCATTATTTTTGTTGATTATTAATGAGAACTTAAAAATTCTCCAATATCCTCTTCGTGGATATGTGTGTCAGGTCCCTTGATCCGACTTAGGTGCCATCAGCTTTCAGGAGGTTTTAAAAATGATTTCTCTGCACATTTTCTCCCATCTCAGGCTGTCTGTGTTAACAGGAGCAGTAGAGAACAGTCTCAATATGGTGAGACTGTTTGGGGGCCTTTTCCACACTTTCTACACCCGTGTATCGCTATTAGGCCATTCGTTGTAATTCGGAGAGCGTAGTTATTCTCTATGTACCTCCTTGGTTTGGGAGTATGGAGCGGGGGGCGGTGTGGGGAGGTAGATTTCTGCACCTTGGAACTTTTCCCATGATGCACTGTCACAATGAGCTTTTCCCATGATGCACCATCACAACAGGCAGCATCCGGCCTGCTCTTCTGCTGGGTTTCTCATGTTACTTGACTTAATGACAGTGTGATGTGGAACAATTTTTATTTTGAGGCCAGAAGCAGGCTGGGAGATAGAAGGCACGGCCTTTTCTTCTCTGAAAAGAAATTAGGTCTCCTGTTTTTTTGAAGAAACAAAAAATACGGAATTCAAGCTGCCTCTGATACATATCTTGGTTATGAGAAATCATAATTAATATGTGTTGAGTGAGTGCTCTGAGCCAACCTCTGTACTAAGCACTTGACAGTTTTGTCTCATTAATCTTTAACCACCAGAAGCTTATGAAATAGGCACTATTATTATTTCTGTTTTATACATGAGGAAATTGGAGAGGATAGTATGTGCCTCCATGGGGGTCTCCAGATGGACAATTTCGGTAAATTAATTTTTAAAATTTAATTACTTTAAGACAACTGAAATACATTGAACGTTTATTTTGTGTCATTGTGCCAAACCCTGGGGTCTCACAGACAAATACAAGATACAATATGTGCCTTCAAGGAGCTCACAGTCTCCTTGTGGAGAAGAGAGGAGACAGGATGACAAGCGGTCACAGGCTACTACTGTTGGAGCCCAAATAGTCACCCGTAACCGGTGCCAGGGTTGTGGTGGGGAAGACGTCATGTGGGGATATCAATGAAGGCTTCTGAGAAGTGACCCCTTTCATTTGCCCACTTACCCCTCAGGTAGCCAGGCTAGGTCAGAAGAGGAAAATGCAAAGTAGTCACAAAGGTAGACAGAATCCCCTAAAGTTGATAAGAACAAGTTGAAGCTATGAATTAGGTCAAAACTAAAACCACATGGCCAATTCTGTCCTTTTGGGGGGACTTCAATGCATTGGGGGCCAACTGAGATGGAGGGAAGTATGCGGAGTAGCTGAAGAAACCTATAGCTTGAAAGTTGTGTCGCTTCTGCTCACTCTGTTTCATTGCCTGGATCTGAAGCTGGGTAGCCAGCCCTGTGTTTCAGGCAGGAACAGATGGAATGGGATATATCTGAGCAGCAGAGCCAGACTACCCTGGCAATGACTTTCAGGGAAATACATGCACTTTCTTCTATGCCAACAGTGAGCCCAATTGACAAGGCAGAAAGAAAAACTCAGCGTAGAGCCATAACTCTGGTATCAGGAAGCATAGGTTTTGCAGAGGTTGACCCGTGACTAACCAGGCCGGGCCACTCCATTTAACCACAGATTTGGTTCCCTTTGGCAACATGAATCTGTTATTCTGTTGAACACATCACGCCAGAATCAACCCATTTGCTGACCCCACTGGGTTGTTCCTAGCCGGCACTTAAACTGTCAAGGTTGAGAGCATAGATGGCATTGGCAAGGAGACGTTACGAATTTTCATATTGTATCAAAACAGACTTTACAGGAGACCAACTCTTTTGCTGAACAGATAAGGACACTATGACTCAAGAAGGGTCAGCCACTTTCCCAAAGACATGCATCTAGTTAGTAGCAGACTTCAGCCTGGAATCCCAGTCTTCTAACATTTGTCCCCTCCTCTTTTTACTACAATGTATGTTACAGTTCTTCTCCCAGATAGCAAGGTACTTCAGCTAATCACACCAAACGAGCCTCGGAGCCTGGTCTCAGGATGTCCAGCTGAGCGCTCTGCCCTCCATTTACCATGATACCCATGTGGGTGGGTTCTGTCAGCCCGGTGAAAATGGAGACTTTGGGGAGAAATTCAAATCATTCCACTTTTTAAAAAATGTAGTGATGATGAAGGGAAATAGTGTGCACTTTTCAAACACTTTCCTTTTGCCATAAACTAACATCATTCTGGTTGTGTTTGGGCAGTCACCCATTCTCAACATTATTTTTGAGCGATCTCGAGCCTTTAACACCCCTTCCTCAAGGAAGCAATAAAGAGAACTCATAGATCTCCCTCAAATCAGCCAACCAAGGTTGAGGGTGTGTGTGTGTGTGTGTGTGTGTGTGTGTGTAATATTCAGAGGCATCAATTTAAAAATCAGATCGTAGGCAGTTGCAGACGACGATGGAAATTAATCACCCCCTCAGCCTGAAATGCTTTCCACATAGGCTCAGACTATGGAAGGACAAGAATCAAGTTCCATTTTCAAATACTAGTGAAGGCCGTGAATATTATAGGACCAGGGCTGAGAACCCCAAGCACAGTGCCTGGTAAATGATGCCGTAAATGTTAAATTAAGGACCATAAATGTTGGCTTAAATGAATTAAGCCAGGGATGCTAAAATGGAGAAAAAGGAGGACAGAAGGGGAATATGAGGACCAAGTCGACCTTGCTCACTTCACAAATCTGCCCGGAGCCGACCCTAGTAGCAGATGCCCCAGGAAGATGGACTCCAACCTGTCTTGGCCAAAATTGTCTCATGATGAGCAGACCTGTTTATCTATTCAGCAGTCTCTAGATGAGAGCAGTTAGGAGCACATAGCTTCATAAATAAACACACCAACACTCTCTTGGTTTTGGTTGGCAGGAGCCAAATGAAAACCTTTCCTGCTTTAAAAAGAAGTGAAGTCTTGCTTGTTCTATATGGACTTGGCATATGGTGCAGATTCAGCTGTTTACACATGCGTTCCTGGGGTCGAAGCCTGCATGCCATGATCTCATGATTATGTCCTTTCCTCTAGTTGAGAGCCATGCATCTCTTTTAACACAGTAGTCTGTGGCCATTGCTAACACCCCCAGTTTTGTCTCTGATATGAAAGTGTGTGTGTGTGTGTGTGTGCGCGCGCGTGCGTGCATACATTCACTTCAAAATGTTTGTGTGTGATATGGATGTAACCATCAGGTGACCAAGTATTCAACTTGTCAGATATTCCCTGTAGTTTTACGTGCTGATGATGTCAATAGTGCCTTAGTTTAGCTATGAGGCCAAGTCTAATATCACAAAGGCTTGTGACAAACCAAAGTGTTGAACTGACTTCTATCTCTCTCCATCTCTGTCTCTATCTGCAATTGCTCCTTTCTAGAAAAAGACAAATGACAAAAACATAAACTAATGTCAGAAGGTATTCCTAAAAATGGCTTTGAGTGTGCCCGAGAGTCGTTTGTAGCCTAATTGCCTTTTCCCCGTCCGGAATAGTGTGAGACTTTTGGTCATAACAAAAGAAGTCAGATCTGTTCCAGAGAGTGCATTCATTAATAAGGCAGGAAAGTAGCCTAAGACATTTGAAAAAGACTTCCAGTAACAAGGGGTAAATAGCACACAGGCTGGACATACTTGGAGGTTTAACCCAGAGGTAATGGCTGCAGCACAGGGCTGTCCAAAGATCGCTTGAAATAAATTAACCATGTAGCCTTGTGCGTATTGTAAAAGACATAAGCTGTATGGAGGTTCCTCAAAAAGTTGAAAATAGAGCTACCCTACTATCCAGCAATTGCACTACTGGGTATTTACCCCAAAGATACAAAAGTAGGGATCCGAAGGGGTACGTGCACCCCGATGTTTATAGCAGCAATGTCCACAATAGCCAAACTGTGGAAAGAGCCAAGATGTCCATCGACAATGAATGGATAAAGAAGACGTGGTATATATATACAATGGAATATTATGCAGCCATCAAAAGGAATGAGATCTTGCCATTTGCAACGACGTGGATGGAACTGGAGGGTATTATGTTGAGTGAAATAAGTCAAACAGAGAAAGACATGTATCATATGATCTCATTGATATGAGGAATTCTTAATTGCAGGAAACAAACTGAGTGTTGTTGGAGTGGGGGGTGGGGTGGGAGGGATGGGGTGACTGGGTGATAGACACTGGGGAGGGTACGTGCTCTGTTAAGCGCTGTGAATTGTGCAGGACTGTTGAGTCTCAGATCTGTACCTCTGACACAAATAATGCAATATATGTTAAAAAAAAAGAAGAAGAAGAAGGTAGCGGGAGGGGAGGAATGAAGCGGGGGAAATCGGAGGGGTGGACGAACCATGAGAGAAGATGGACTCTGAAAAACAAACTGAGGGTTCTAGAGGGGAGGGGGGTGGGAGGATGGGTTGGCCTGGTGGTGGGTATTGAGGAGGGCACGTTCTGCATGGAGCACTGGGTGTTGTGCACGAACAATGAATCATGGAACACTTCATCTAGAACTAATGATGTAATGTATGGGGATTAACATAAGAATAAAAAAATAAATTAAAAAAAAAAAAAAGACATCAGCTTTGGAATCAGAGAGACCTGGATTTGAATCCTGGCTCCACCACTAATTAAT